AAGGATATTTGTTGATCTGAAAGAGGTACCAGCACTGTAATTTGCAAAGCTCTTAGGAGACTAAGAGAAACAGTCTGGTGGCCTGGTCCATAGAGAGTTACAGTGCTAATGCAAAGGTGATACCTCTCTGGGGCTTGAATTCACCAGCTGCTCCTTGGGAGATAGATAGGCAATCTCGTCCAGTGTGATTTATAGCCTCTGAAAACTCACTGGAGGTCAACAATGAGCAGGTTTCAACTAGACAGTAATGAGGTGGGTTTGTAGTTTTCATTTTAAAATATGCCAATTTAATTTATTCCTTTTTTATAAACATAATATAACTGCCAGACCCTTGTCACTATCACCTTTGAAATATCTCAGAACTGCCTGCAGATGATCTTCTGTGGTTGTCTGAACGGACGTTATCATCATCATCATCACTGTCTTCGATGTCACACTATTCTAGCCTTTCTGGAGCTGTTGAGGATGATTTCTAGGCTAATTTTCCCATAACTAGAAGGCACTCACTTGCAAATTTCTGTAAATGCCTTCTACTCCAGTCATCCTGATGGTATGAACTCATAAATCCCAAACTGCATCCATTTAGTTCAATTTCATCTGACAAGTCTTGAACGAAATGTTGACCATAATCTGCAGTTTGCCTGTAAAGCCATCTGAGATGACTGCTATGTTCCTACCCATTGAGTTAATACCCTTTCTCTCACTTAGGGTTGGGGACCCTAAGGGCTGCATACAAAAGAGAAGATCAGCATGCCTCATAGAGGCTGGAGCCAGATTCTAGGTCATCATGGTTGCCCAAAACATCTTAACGGCCTGAATGAGAGTTCTGTGACACAGGGAGAATGTAAAGAAATCCTTTCTGGAGGAAGACAACATCTTTTCAGGTTCAAATTATTTCAACAAGTAATCTTATAATGTCCAAAACACAATTGAAGGTAGTTAGGAATGTAGGAGACAGCAGAAACAAGGCACACTAGAGCCAAGTCTTGCTTTCATCTACTATGTATTAGTAATCAGAGATTGTCAGGCTGTTTGATTTCCAAAGTATTTCATAGTTAAGCCATTGGGGAAACAATATTTACTCATTCTTAGATTTTGGTCAAATAGGAAGAATATTAATCTTTATAAATATTTAAGTGTTAAGTGCTTGCAATGAAGCTGAAGAAGCAACTGAAACTTCAGATCAAAGCAGTAGATGGGAAGGATCTTTGGCCCTAAATGGCTATCAATAGACTGGCTTGCTATTATTTTACTCTAGT